GGACCACTTTTGGAAGTTGAGATGTCGAAAAAGTGCACGCCGTTGTGGCGCGAAGCACATTTCGAAGTCAAAAGTGGAAAAAACTGAGGGGGCGGGAACGCTTTTGGACGTTCGGATGTCGTTTTGCGTGGCAGGCACAAGGGACTCTGCACCTTGCCAAAAGTGAGCGAAACGTGAGAGCATTTTCAAAAGCGGCGGCAGGTGCGTACAAGAGACATGTTCATGAGAGATGTTCGGAGGTCAGGGCGCTGATTTCCTGAGAGGGGTTGCATTTTGGAGCATGAGATCTTCAAGTTTGCTAAGATGATTTTGCGTGACAGGTGCAGCACTTCGTATGGCCTGGCTTCACTTTTTCGCGGCAGGCGGAATATTTTAGAGACATGGAATGGACAAATCGTAAAACGCAGCTCTGCACTCAATTTTCCATTATGCAAGGAAGTCTCGCAGAATTGCTTCGTTTTTGATGATGTTGCCAACTTCAAAAATTGAGGAAGTCTCGCTGAATTTCTTCGTTGTTGACGTTGTCAAGTTAAAACGGAGGAAGTCTCGCAGAATAGCTTCGTTTTCAAATTTGCAGATAGACAGATAGATGGATAAAAAACTACAACTACATTGCAGAACACTACGCTACTTACAGTACACTACATTACAACTATACAACTACAATGCCACGACAACTACAACTACACCAACTACACCAACTACAGCTACACCAACTACAACTACACCAGCAACCACTACTACCACTACCACCACTACCACCACTACCACCACTACCACCACTACCACCACTACCACCACCACCACCACCATGACGACGACGACTACTACTACTACTACTGCTGCTGCTACTACTACTACTACTACTATTACTACAACAACAACAACAACAACATTACACAACACTACATCACACTAACTACACTACACTACACGACGCTGTAGCTACAACTACACGACGCTACATTACAACTACAACTACACTACTTCACACACACTACACTGGACTGCACTACACTATGCTACACTAGAGTACACAACACGACAGTACACTACACTACATTGCACTACACTACAGCTACAACTACAACTACAACTAATTACACTACACCACAGCTACAACTCCACTACACTACAACTACAACTACAACTGCGCTACACCACACTACATCCAGCAGTTGTGGGTGAGGTGACCACTGCAACCATTGCAACCACTCCAAAAAACACAACTCCAACCACCTTTCGCTCCATCAGTGGATTCGCTCTGCCATCCGTGATTCACAACAGCTCACCTCTCCTATAGGTTTCCTATTTTTGAAACTTCCGCTACGCCTTGTGCGGTACTACTGGTAAACATATTTATATTTTTCCTATGTATATATATATATATATGTATATTATGGGGATGAGTCAAATTTGGGTATCGCCAAATGGGATGATTTGTTACATGGACCAACACCTTTTTCTGCTGGGTCTCAAGTTTTGACTCATAGGTGTGATGGCAACTACCCTCGAATCAAACATTTGGCAAGAGAGAATCCTTCACTCAAAAACGTTTTTCCCATTGAAACCGCATGAGCATGTTGTGTTTAAGTGCTTTTCATATCTTTTCATATTTTCCTCTGAATTTCTCTTATCAAAACCGCAGTGACTTTTTCGACTTTCCATTGCCATGGCTATTTTTCTTCGCTTAGGGATAGCCCAAATCCTCTCCGGTCAAGGTGCCCAATCCCTTTGCCATGGCGTTGATCTGTTCGGAGATGCCTCAAGGGGCGTGGGGTGAGTCATGGATGATTTACCGGTCAAAAATGGTGGGTTTCCACATCTATGTTGGACCATTTTGGGTATTCCAGCTCTATATTTCATCAACAAAATTTAGGATATTAGTATATATTAGTTACTTAGATAGATAGATAGATATATAGACAGATAGATAGATTGAGCGATAGATTGATAGATAGATATATAGACAGATAGATTGATCGATTGATCGATCGATGGATAGATAGATGGATGGATGGATGGAGGATGGATGGATGGAGGATGGATGGATAGACAAACAAACAAACAAACAAACAAACAAACAAACAAAACAAAACAAAACAAAACACAACAAAACAAAACAAACAAACAAACAAACATACATACATACATACATGCATACATACAAACATACAAATATTATCAAATAGTTAAATAGATATATAATTCTATGAATTTGTATATTTCAGCCATCAAAATTGCCGTTGAACCGATGATCCAAGTTAGCAAACTACCCATGTTTTCTTGGCTGACCTTTTTCGTTGACAACTCCTACCTTGCGTTGGCATCTCATGGTTCCCCCGCCTTCATAGAGTTTCCATCTCTCCAGGAACTCGACAAAGCGATGCTTATTCTCGTCCGTCACTGTGGCCACGCCATCACACAGCAACACCTGCGGAGCTAGTTTTTGTGGAGATTCCAATGGAGTATCATCATCCCTAAATGAAAGGGGTAGGTTGATGAACCCTGAGCAAATCACCTGGACATTGCCATCGAACTCCAAAGAAAAAGAGTTTGGACGATGGTTGTCCTTTTCACAAGAAAGTTCTTAGGTTCCGAGTGACGCTTTCTGCGAGATGAACCATGCACCAGAGTGGATCAGTAGCATGTTCATCTTCCATCTGAGGTTGATCAGTATTTCACCCCAAGAAATCCCAAGAACTGATGTGTAACTCCTCTAAAGGCAGAGAAAATTTCACAATCGGGATGCCATGCCCCTTCTGGGATCTTCAGCAGCACGGAGACCTCAGAGTTCTCCACGCGCATCAAAACCGTGCTGCTGCTGTCTCCGGATAAACGCTGATGTCGCGATAGTAAGGATGGGAGGCTTTGTACCTCTTCATCCGCATCCTGGACGCCAAGGCCAAAAAAGCACCAGAAGTAACTAGCTTCAACAGTCATGGCCAGGAGTGGAGTTCCACTTGAGTTGGGAGATATAAAATGATATAAACGATTATAACATATGATTAAATGGACAACACAAACAGCTCTTGGAGGCTTAGAAATTTCCCACATCCGAATCATGGTGTGGGGCCTTCCGTGACAATTGTTAGTACCAACCACATCACTGATCACCAAAAATATTTGTGGTCCTGAACGTGCCTTGACATCGCATCTCATCACCAAGTTTGTGATCCCTAAGTAGTACATAGACCAACTTGATCCTCAAGTGGGGCAAAAACACATGTGTTGCAATGTTGGTAAACCAATAATCAACCATAATAAACCATTCCATTTTTGATGGTTTATACCACCAATAAGGATGGTGATTTTGGGGATGGTTTGTTATGTTTATATCATTGCTTTAACCATAACCCCTTTTGAAAATATGAAGGACCAATCACTTGTGGCATCTTGTGGCCGAAAAACACATAAAACCACCATATCTCTCCAGCTCTCCCAGTCCCGCCTTCGACTCTTCTGGTCCCAAAGGATCAGAGAAGCTGAGTTCAACTCCCAAATCATCGATGGGATTGGCCAGCAGCCACTGCACCTGGGGGAACCAACTTTCTCACAAACTGCACCTGGAAGAGCTGAAACCCCCCAAAAAAAAACCTTGAAAGATCATGACGATCACGTTGATCACGTTGTACCTGTGAGAAATGATAAATATATGAGATTTCCATGGGTTTTGATCAACAATTGACCCATCCTGGGTTTCGACATCCGACCTTATTATCCGCGGTGATATTACCTTGACAAAGCAAACATGCCCAAGCTAGCCACAAAGACCACGCATGAATCTATTTTCACATGCCATGAACAAAAACATCAACCCATAAAATTCAGAGATACAGATATGGTGGTTTCCTAAGTCATAGGAGTACCCCCAGTCATCATCCATTGAGGGACCCATCATAAACCAACCAGCAAGCTTGGGGTACCTCCATGACTATGGAAACCCCCATACAATACGTTCTCAAACAGTACCATCTGGTTATTTAACAGTTCGCCATGCAAAGATCCACCATGCTATATGTAATATATGAATTTGATGATATGATATTCCTTCCTTCCTTCCTTCCTTCCTTCCTATTCTTTTCATGTATATATATATATATACATAATATGTGTTGATCCAGAATAACTTGTTTTTGATCCAGAAAAAAATGTACCCCTATCCCCTATCATTCATATGGTTGGAAAACTGTTAGTAGCTCCTTGGTTCTCCATTTATACAGTAAGGCATGTAGATACCCTTATCTCCAAACAGCTCCCCCAACCACCAGATAGTAAATCAGAATAACATCATATAATTAGAATCATATAAACACATAAAAAAATAATGTAAAATCACAAAAAAAATCATCTAAACTCGCCTGAAATCAGATAGCATCACATAAATTCAGATCTGAACTCACATAAAATCAGAGATAAAACAACATATAACAAATCATCTAAACACACATGACACCATTAAAAAAAAACATAAATCACATCAAACACCCAGCAAGCGCCACATGCCAACCGCCGCGGGATCCATCATCGAAGCGCGCCTTGTGTCTGTGCAGTTCGGGATCCATCTCAGCCAGGCTGGTCCTGACCAAATGGTGGTGCCATATATACGTGATGTTGGTTGGATGATATATCAGTTTTCTAGGTGATACCCTCTGGTAAACGTTTACATAACTATGGAAAGATCCAGCATTTTTAATGGGAAAACTCACTATAAATGGCAATTTTCAATAGCTATGTTATATCAGTTATAGGTGATATATCAATAGTGATGTTAGTTGCTTAAACCATAGGAATAGATTCTAGATATATCAATGAGACATCTACCATAAACCATAGTGAAATTGGAGTTATAAACGCACCAACTTAGCTAAATGGGGCACCACCAATAGTGACTTTCACCAGCACCATTTAATGAGGATTGATCCACCCTTAAAACTTGGATTTGATCCGCAGAAAATTGATGGGATTTGTAGCTGATGCGTGACATGCCACGGTTCCTCTGTGACTAATATCACTAGGGTTCATGGTAGATGTGTCTATATATATATATATAATATATATATATATATGTATGTACATAGCTAATTTTGCATCATATGTCTCTGGCTGAATTGACATTGATGATGATAACAATCTGGATGTCATTTTTCGGCAATAATGAGATACGCAAACCATCCCATGGTCTCATGGGTTATCACGAGCTGCGCTGTTGCGGCAGAGCGGCGTGATGCTCTCGGGAGGAAAGCCGAAGAGCAAGGCACAGATATGCGGATGCAGCGGCAAATCCTCGAAATTCGAGGGAACTGAAGTGACGCATTTACATGTGTATAGTATAGCCCCCTGGTTTTCAATGTGTTCATAGCTAGCTGGACACTGGATGCTCATCTTCCACACGGTGGATGGTTGCGAAATCCTGCACCAGTTGGTTCAATAGATGGTGTGTCCCATCAAACAATCCAATTATTTTATAGTGCTTCATAGTGACGTCCATAGTTACCTGCCTGGTGCAGGATTTCTTCTATCCACAGTATCTTCCACCAAAAAATGGTGTTTTATAGATTTTGATTCACCCACATGTGGAATCATGTGAATATGGCTCAAAATTGGGCAAAAGAACCTGGGATGATTCACTGCTCATGATGACAAATGCTTACTTGGGGCCTTAAACTTTGATGCACAAGGATTGCAGCCAAGTTTTTATGTCGGAAAAGCTTATTGACTGAAGAAATTGGACTAGCACACAGAATCTTTCAAGAATGATTAGGACACATTAGGACTAGTAGCGGATTCAATATAATGCATCTTGCAATTGGATTAACCCCACCTATTAATCAGTTATCTATTGGGTACAGTTTGAGTCAGCAATATCAACCAATCATTTCAAGTTGACCACTACTGTCAATCAAGTTTTGTCAAACACTAGTAATTACCGTGAACAACTAACCACTACTAAAAATTGTTTTCAATATTACATCCATTACAATACAATTAACCATTAGTTAATCAACCATTACAAGAATCTGTTTCAGTCATTCTGGGCACGATATCATATTCACTAACCTGCAAAGGTTGGACTATTTTGGGATAGTTACCCCGAATCCTAATCATAATTTTATCAGGGTTCGGTCGCAGTGAGGTAGTTATAATATTTGGATTTATCCAAATATATAATTATATGACATATATCATGAACATTTATCATTGACTTATATCATTAAGATTCATTCACTATGAACAATAACTCAGCATCAATTATCATTGATTATCATCAATTATCATTAACTATCATTAACTATCAACTATCATTAACTATAATTATCATCAATTATCATTAACTATTCTCTATTACGGCAACATACGATTCTCATCTACGAGGCCGACCTGACAGGAAGCTTTGACGATTTCGCGGGCGAATTGACCGGAAAACATGGGCATCGATGAGGAAAGCCATGGGAAAATATGGACACATCGTCAAAAATCTCTATAAATAACTATAAAATGGAGGTGTGTTCATGGAAAAATCATCGAATTATTGGAGTTTCCACCAGCCATAGTTCGTTGACTTTTGCAGAAACCTCCATTTACTGCGGGGATGTTCTAGCTTGCCATGCAAATGTTCCTATGAGTCCCCCCTAAGTTTTGCAGCTCAACAAAAAACTTGTGGGTTACGTAACCCCCAGTTTGGCAAGCAACCTGCAACATGTGTGCTACATATACAATGTCCGAAAATATTAAGAAGTAAGTCCATGGCATGTAGCTATTCTGGACAAAATGTCTTTCTTGCTAGTTTCTGAAATTGTCCTTTGGGTGTCTAAGTAAACCACCATCATATTCACTGGAACATGAAATCCATGTTGTTAAGTTGTATCTCCATTTTTTGTTAGCTAAGTAGATGTTAATCCACATTTTCAAAGTGACATAGTCCATCCTTCAAGAAAATTCATTCCCTACCCTGCGGTAATTTCACATAGCTATTGAACATGGTCATTTATAGTTGAATTACCCATTAAACATTGTGATTTTCCATCGTTTTTTGTATGTTTACCAAAGGGTAATGAACATGACCCAGGTATGACTTGGCGAATGGTGACATGCCAAGGCTCCAAAGTGCAATTCTGCCAGAGCGCCAGGCCGATCAAACAGCCCATGATCTCATAGTCCATCCTCAACTGAAAGACCCATTCACAGTAAATCACATGGATATGTAGCAACACTTGTGAAGTTATGCAGGTCTACATATTAATTATTATATGTACTATTTTATATATATATATATGTATATATACTATGTATATGCATAATTTGGGCAAATCGATGCATAAACAATACATCCATACAGCACATTACAAATATACATTGAATTGCATTGCATTGCATCGCATTACATTACATACATGATATCTAGTTGGTGGTATACCTAACCCTCTGAAAAATAATGGAGTTCGTCAGTTGGGATTATGACATTCCCAACTGAATCGAAAGTCATAATACAGCCATGTTCCAAACCATTTATAGTTGATTTACCCATTAAAAATTGTGATTTTCCATAGTTCTGTTCCAAACCACCAACCAGATATCATACATCATTTTCAATGGGTAAATCCACGATTTCTATGGCCATTTTCAATAGCAACCATGGGAAGCAACCAGCCATTTCGAGTGGAAAACCGTTGCAGTTTCTCCGTGTGCCCATCCCAACAGGAAAAACATGGAATCGTTGCATTTCAAGGTTTGAACGATGAACAATAAACAAGGTGTCGAAAGTATTCTAGAGTCACATATCAATGATTCGGACGTTGGACGTTTTGTTTGACATATCAATGATGTTTGGTTCAAATTCCCACTTTTTGTTGGAAGTGCAAACTTTGTTCATAATACAACTGGTAAATAATGGTCCGAATTGTGAGTGAAACAATCTTCCAACTTTGACCCCCTGCTATCACCGTCCCTCAAAACGCAGATGGATTTGTTCCAAGTCTGTGAATGGATGATCAATGGCCATGAACATGGTCACTGCGCCTTGAGGAGTGCTGGAGTGTTAACACATTTCATTATTGGCGTCAATCAATCATCATGAATTTCTGAACCCTTTCAGGGTTTCACATGTTGCAATATCTTGATGTCTCTTTGTGAAATATCTAAAAACCCTGCAAAAGCGCCTCATTTTGAGGGTCAAGGTTCGCAATCAGTATGGTTTCTGATAAGATTGTAATTCAAGCACTGATGTCGGCAACTTGTTTTCGGACACTGCGCATATCTTATCTCTGTCTTTTAAGAGCTGTCCAACTACAAGAGAAGAGTCCTTAGCGTAGCATCATCTAAGTCTGCAAGTACAAGTCTCCTTAGCGCAGCAACTATAGAAGAGAAGAGTCGTGAGCGACGCATCCTTTCTGTGTGCAAGTGCAACAGGACGTTATTGGCCCCCCCCAACCCCACCCTACCCCAGCTCACCCCACCCCTCAGCTTAGTATGCAAGTACAAGAGAAGAGTCGCGGTAAGTCTGCAAATAGAAGAAAAGAGTCCTGAGTCTAGCATCATCTAAGTCTGCAGAAGAAATAAGAGTCCTTAGCATAGCACCCTTTCTGTGTGCCAGTGCAACAGGACGTGATTAGCCCACCCCACCCCACCCCATCTGCCAGAGAAGATCTTCTAACGATCAGATGACTAATGCCCAGCATCTTCCAGCAGTTGTTGCAAAAGGTGGCCGCTGCATCCTCATGGCGGAGAAATCCCCGAACTCAATGGAGGTCTTCATTGGGACAATCATGTGAACATATCGAACATCCCCTATAATCTATAAATGGAGGTTACCCTCTGGGTATTTAACATAGCTATGGAAAGATCCACCATTTTTAATAGGTAAATCATCTATAAATGGGCCATGTTCCATGGCTATGTTCAATAACCAGACGGTAACTAATTGATGAACATTTGATGAACTAGTTGGATCTAGTTGGATGATTTTTCGCCATGTTTGATGACACCAGAGTGTATTTTGGTTTGCAGGGTTGCCCATGGCACGGAATATGTTCAAATTAGATGCCCAATAGTGGGAAGAAAACACGAAAAACATCACCGACACAGTACCTTCCGATGATTTACCGCTATGGAACATCACCCTGTTTAAGACCCGTAAATCATGGTAAATCATTGAACTAACTGGGATATTGCCCAGAGCAAACTGTTGCCGGAAGGTAAGAAAAGGTAACAGCATCTGTGGTACCCTGCGTCTTAAATCTTGAACAAAGTGTGTCAACCATGGTCTACCCAGTTGCAAATTGGAGAGCAGCATTGCAGACCACAGTGACAGTTGTATATTCAAGGCACAGTAGTCCTCTAAAAAATAGACAAAGTCAAATCCTACTAAAATAATGATGAGTCAATCACTTTTCTATCGTTCTGGGGGTTGCAACAAAGAACCACTTTCAGACTTTGGTGCGAGTCAAACCAATGCTGATTCAACCCTTCTGCTGCGCACTAGATCTCAGCTGAAGAGCTATTCACATAATGTCATTTTCCCAAACATCCGTCCTGTCAATTACCTGCCACAATCCGGTAGTTTTCACCAAACCCATAGACCCTATATTATATTGTTGGTCATAAATTCCATTCTACATTACATTCACTATTATATATATATATATTAGATGCCCATTACAGTTGGTTTTTATAGTGTTATCTATTGGCTAAATCAACATGTTTGTCCAGTTATGTCCCATATTGCACTATCATGTTTGATGCTTAAATTCCCATTTGATTTTGTCCAAGAAATGGGAGGGGGCCCAAAAATCACCATCTCAAATCATTCAATATGGAATGGAATATGAGGATTCCAACCTTTGGAACTTGGTGGTGTTCCCTCAATTTTCCGGTCCAAATGCAATCTGGTTGGTGGTGTACCTACCCCTCTGAAAAATGATGGAGTTCGTCAGTTGGGATGATGAAATTCCCAACTGAATGGGAAAGTCATAATCCAGCCATGTTCCAAACCACCAACCAGGTATCTATCATCATTTTCAATGGCTAAATCCACATAAATCCACTATTTCTATGGCAATTTTCAATAGCAACCATGGGAACCAACCATTTATAGTTGATTTACCCATTCAAAATGGTGATTTTCCACCACCAACTCATCAAAACTGCCCAGTCCCACGGCCACCGCCGCCCTGGCCGCCGCCGCGGCACGGGCCAAAAGGTTTGTCGCTGATCGTAGCTCCTCAAGAGTCGCAGCGATGGCTGCAGATAGACGTCGCGCGCCACCAAGTCCTTGGCTTTATTTCTTTGCAGAGAAACATGATATTACCCATAGGATCCATGTATGCTATATATGGTAACATTTACCATCAATATACCCCAAATGTTGCTATATATGGTAATTACTGTATAAATATGACTCACAACATTTATCTGGGTAAATTATAATTATTCACTAACCTGAATTAAGGTCATTTGGGGATATTTCCCCTTACTAACTATGATTATAGTGAGGTCGCAGTGAGGTCGTTATAATTTACCCAGATATTATCAGATCCCAGTGGCTAATATCTCATATGATCAAAATTTATCAAACAACCAGCTGCTAGTTGACCGTGATATGAAAAGCGGATATTAACCAGCTATATACATATGTAATTTGATCATATCACGGTCAATCTGGGTCAACCAGTTATATATACATAGCTGGCTAATATATGTATATATATACATGTATATATATATATTTATATATATCATATCTCTCTCCCTCCCCATGTATGGCGAAGAAGTACCTACACTACCTATACAAGGTGGGCTCAGCAGTTCACTGATTAGCAAATGGGTTATAACCCATTGTACAAGGGATAAATCCTGAGTGCAAACTAATCAGTTAACCGACTCAATGGCAAATGTAAGTAAGTGTGTAGATAGACTCCAGATAAATAAGTACATATTATATATATATTAAAATATTATACATGTACATATATATATATATATATATACTTGTATGCTGAGATTAATTAGGATAAGCATATAGGATGTGCGCGCAGCTGTGCATCTCTCACGGTGCGAAGTATCATCCCGGTCGGCAGTTGATGGAGGTTTGGTCGTCTTGACCCATTGTTACACCCCCTAGAAACTGACTTGTGGATGGGGATGTAGACATATTTGCGACGTGTTTCTCATATACCGGGGATGTTTTTTGTTTTTTTAAATATGGTCCAAGCATTTCTGGGCACAACCCCATGGCTGGAGGACACTGCAAATCATTACGGGAATGGAAGCACAACAAAACCTCATGGTTGTTGTGTTTACCAAAAGAGTAAAACTAAGATGTTAATTCTTAATCATGCAATATATGCATATATATATATATATATACCTGGAGTCTCCAATGACCCTGTTTTTTTCGCTTTTTCAAAAAAAACCTCCCGAAGAGGTCCTGCACCTTTTTTCATGATATTGAGGCATGCTGCACCTTTTTTTGATTTTGCACAATCAAGGTCACCCATGAGGGCTATAGAGTCTTACTTGGTGCCTTGTGGTGCCTTGGGTGGTCCAATGTCTTGGGTTGACACGAAAAGGCATCACAGTTTGAAAATAGCAGTGGGTTTGGTGAGCAACCTCAACTGAACGCTCTGACGCTGTATCCATGGCCGTATATCTCCAAGCTCCTTGAAATCGCCTTGGGTGAGGGTGCGGACCAGGACTTCACCCCCAAGGCTTCCGTGATGGAATACATAGAAATTGTCAGGACCCCCAAAATGAATCACTTATATATGTTCATCACAAAAGCCTTCAAGATTAATTTATACGGCATCATCTGGCTGCTATCATCCCACGTTTAAACCCAATTTAGAGGCTTTGTCATGAAGACCAACTTTGTTTGGGGATATTGAGGTAACAATTTGCCAGATGGGCTGGGTTTTTGGAGAGGAACCCACCAAACTTTGTTCTGGTCGTGAATGAGATTTTCTAATTTTCACAGTTGTCAGGTTTGAGAGTGAGAGCCAACCGACATGGAAAGTAGCCTGCTCAGGATGTCCAAAGAAAGCAAGCTAGCGACATTACCGCATTTTGGGGGAAGTCAATCGCTGGGTATCCATGTATAGGTTTGCACCCATCCTTGCAACCAAACATGAGGGGGGCGAGTTGGGGAATGAATGTCATAGTTGGCTGTCCAAAAGGCATTTGTGGATCACTCAGCTTATCCCTAAAACCACAAAACCCTCAAGATTAGCTGGAAATCAAATGTGATTCTTAGTTTCGCAAAATGATTTTGGGGATACATTGGGGCCCACGGGGACATACTTCCAATAGGGTGAATCTTGTCAAGTAACTCTATATGGGAAAAGGTGAAGATAAGGTTTGGGCTCCCTGCAGGTATCTGAAGACATTCCCATCATAGAGCAGTACCGGCAGCTTGCATGAGGTGACTTGTGGAAGGATGCCTCTTTAGTGAGCGTCCTCAAATATTTGCGGGGGTCAAAGAAACTCCGCATGCCGCCTCCGTGGCGGGAAGTTTTACTGGAGGGGTTGGAACTGGATGAGGGCACAAACGCCTAAAACACTGCGTCCGGAAACGTCCTGCACCTTTTTTTTGAAATTTGGATGTCCGAAAAAAAATAGGGCGTCCAAAAAGCGTCTTTTTGCGTCCAAAAAGCGTCTTTCGGCGTCCTGTCCGGACGCGTCCGGCCAATCTTTGGTCCTGCACCTTTTTTTTGAAAATGGCAATGTTGGAGTGTTGTGCGGGGTTGCCCTCATCCATTCCATCCGTTTTATCCTAGCTTTGCAGCGCGGAGCCTTGGGAAGGAACAAATAGATATTTTTGACATGCTTTCACATAATTGCACACATGACAAACTAAGAATCACATTTGATTTCCAGCTAATCTTGAGGGTTTTGTGGTTTTAGGGATAAGCTGAGTGATCCACAAATGCCTTTTGGACAGCCAATTATGACATTCATTCCCCAACTCGCCCCCCTCATGTTTGGTTGCAAGGATGGGTGCAAACCTATACATGGATACCCAGCGATTGACTTCCCCCAAAATGCGGTAATGTCGCTAGCTTGCTTTCTTTGGACATCCTGAGCAGGCTACTTTCCATGTCGGTTGGCTCTCACTCTCAAACCTGACAACTGTGAAAATTAGAAAATCTCATTCACGACCAGAACAAAGTTTGGTGGGTTCCTCTCCAAAAACCCAGCCCATCTGGCAAATTGTTACCTCAATATCCCCAAACAAAGTTGGTCTTCATGACAAAGCCTCTAAATTGGGTTTAAACGTGGGATGATAGCAGCCAGATGATGCCGTATAAATTAATCTTGAAGGCTTTTGTGATGAACATATATAAGTGATTCATTTTGGGGGTCCTGACAATTTCTATGTATTCCATCACGGAAGCCTTGGGGGTGAAGTCCTGGTCCGCACCCTCACACAAGGCGATTTCAAGGAGCTTGGAGATATACGGCCATGGATACAACCTCAGGCTGTGCAGATACCACCTGGAACCCAGCCAGCACTACTTTTACCACTACAACTTTGAGCTGCGAAGTCATGATGTAATCATGTCACCTGCTACGGAAAATTGCGAGGCTGATGAAGATTTCATCGGTAGGGTATGTCGGCTGGCACGGTGCGTGCATGCCAGTACGACTACCCTTCGGGTGTTGGAAAGGCACCTCATTAAATGCTATTTTGAATTCGAGGAAATCAAACTGAGCTGAAATGCCAGGAAAAAAACAATTTTAAGTCATGCTAGCAGGCTCATCAGCCACCAGGTTTGGATCGCGATTGAGCTTGAGCCATCAGATCTTCCACGGGTTGATTGAAGTAACACCTGGAGACTCCCTGCACCTTTTTTAATTGCCTGCACCTTTTTTCCCCAAAAAAAGCCAAAATCTAAGGGCAATTTAGAAAAGGCAATTAAAAAAGGTGCAGGGAGAGTCCAGGTATATATATTGTAGTATATTTTGGGACATTTGATCATTACCACATTAGATCATTTCTTTGATGGGCACACCATCAAATCCAACGTGTCGGCTTCCAGAGCATACGTTGGTGGGACCGGATGATCCAAAGACCACAATCGATAAAATGAACAACATTTAACCTACGTATAGATTAACGTTCTCAATTCACAATCATTTGAATCATATTATGTTTTGATTCATTTATTCATTGGTTTATTGCTTGGACAACCTTAGAACAAATACAACACACTCTTGGGACGAAACCTCTGTAAATATCTGAACGCCGCTGGATGACATCAGCCGGGACCAGTCGATACATGACATGGACAGGGACTTTGATTAAACCGCATGTCTGTGGACATTCGGGGATTCTCCATAGGACTAAATAGGACTAACTATAAATAAAGTCATATTAAATCCCATTAGATCACATTAATTTACATTAAAACTGCATTGAACTCAATTTACATATCTTTAAATCACATGAAATCCCACGAAATCATACTAAATACTAAATAATTACATCTATATACATACCATTCAATCCTATTAAATCCTGTGAAACCTCCACATCACAGGAATCCATTCAACACACCTCACGGACCAACCAAGGTTCCATCCATTCACGGACCACGGCGCTGCCAACGCCTTGTTCACCACCTGAGCTTTGCGAAAGGGGCAACTCGGCACCAGGGACACCTCGATTTTGTTCTTTCTTTTTTAGACTTCATGGGACTTCGTTGGATTTATATAATGAATGGAATCTAGTTAATATCTATGTCCCGGAATATGGTAATTTGATGTAATTTGACAGATTTTGACCTAATCATAGGTTTTGACCCATGCCCATACTTGGAATCTAATGAGATTTCATGGGATTTAATGGAATTTAATGAAACACAAAGGGGACTTTTATGGACTCTGATGGGATGTAATGGGGATGGATATACAGAGCAATAATGGAGATGGGGATTACCCTCTGGTAACTTAACAGAGCTATGGAAAATCACCATCTTGAATGGATAAATCATCGAACTAAATGGGTCATTTTCGCAAACTGTTCAGTGGCCTGAGGGTCATATTCATGACACTGCGATATATCCCACAATGGAACTGGGTGATTGTGGTTATTACCCGCTTGGGTTTCTTCAAAAATACCCCAGAATCCACTGTTTCAAAACCTCATGTCCCGCATTGTTCAATGGACACATTTTGTTTTTTTGGGGTACACACATTCATTTTCAGACAGACTTATCATTGGATTGTTATATTTGATTAAATCCACACTTTGCTTTGCTGGTTGCTTTCTTCATAAAACAATAACCTGCCACATATTACATGAAATATCCTAGTATAGTGTTTATCATTTATCCCATTATAGATGTCCCCATCATATCCCCACTACTGTTGCTTTTACCTCCAATTTTTCTTGGTCAAATCATGTCAAATCCCGATTTCACAAGTGGCTCCACCTGTAACTGCGATGCATCAAAGTAAGTCAAGCTGCGAAATCGTACCTCGAATTCTCCACAAATGTCAGGACTGCCAATGCCAGTGCCTTCACAGTACCTGCAGCTGTCAGAAACTGCTGTTCTGGTGCTCAATCTTGGAGACCCTGCAAAAACATGGATTTTGAGTTTCTATATTGGTATACATCCCCATTTGTAGCAGAAGATCAGTACAAAAACATCCAAGGCTACCCCAAAGCACAGATGATGGATCTTGTCTTGGACATTTTTTTCTGATATATTGGGGTATTCAATGCTACTAGTATGGTGGGCTTTTCTGCCTTATCAGAACCATCTTGGGCGAGTTTCGTTTTGAAGTTTTTTCAGAGCAACATTTATGAGAACCATTACCGAGCACTCTCATCGCCATTTCTGACTGAGTCCATATCTTCGACACAAAAACGATATCCCGTATGGATCCCAATTCATAATGCCAAAATGGAAAACGACCACGGAACACCAACACTGCCAAACCTGGAAATAAGCATCACTAAAACTGTAGTACGCCCGTGGAATATCATGGGATAATTTCATTCTATTGCACGGTTAGTTAGGACAATGGCAATTGTTTAACGACTGAGGATACCTTTCGGTAATTTAACATAGTTAGTGAACAGTTAGCTATGAACAAATGATGCACATGGGCCATTCATAAATGATTTACTATCCATCTTATCCATCCATGATTATTTTCTATAGCTATCTTGAATTACCCAGGGTAATTCCTCGTACTCACCTTCATTTACCGTCGAGTTCGCCATGACTTAAACGAGTTGTGCCTCGTGGGCGGATTTTCAATCTGCTGGGCGGCAGGGAAGTACATATATGTACATATAGATGCCAAGGAGTGCAGATGGGGATGTAAGCCCCAAGATGAGCCCAGCGGTGATAGCTTGTCCTTCCTTTCCAACTCCTTCTTTATTTCTTTCTGGTTTTGCCGATGTCACGCCCTGATTTGGTCGCCATGACATCGTTTTTCTGATATGAAAAAGTGATATCATATAAGAATATCGCTTAGGTGATACTAGATGATACTACAGTAGCTTTTTTTAGATGTTCAAGTAGTTCCTATATATATATATATATATATCTACATTTAATGATATTTGCCACTACCACCCTTTTGTCCCAGATCAGAGTGTCAGGAGGACCCTCGGTCTGAGCCAAAGAACTGCTTTCGCAAGGCTTCCAACCTCAATTTTTTTGCGACGTCAGAAGTGTGGACTCTGAAATCACTTGGGTTTTGAAATTTGACAATGTCCAAATCTGGCAATGATTCAAAACCTGGGGCACCGATACAAGCCACATAAATTTAACTGGTTTCTGGTCTTTAATCCTCCTTTGGTTGCTGTTGGAATGAGAAAACATGAGAAAACACTGATTCAAATCGTGATGAACCATGGGAGTTGTCATGGAGTTCCGAAATCTCACATGCCATTTCATCATATTTCATAGCCTTTCATAGCCTTTGCAAGGTGCTGCCATGGAACCAATACTCATGGGGGGTTCTTAAGTCATGGGGAATGACGACTGAATGACTTGGGGGGACCCCTCTGGAGACAAACCAACGTGGCGAACTATGGGGCACCATTTCTGGTTGGTGGTGCAATAACCATCTCGAAAAATCATGGAGTTCGTCAATGGGGTTAGGATGACATCCTATATATGAAATGGAAAAAAAAAACCATGTTTCAAACCACCAACCAGTGATTATTAACTATCATTAACCATCATTAACCATCATTAACCATCATTATCCCATACTAAACCACCAGATTTCGTGTGAGGTCCTTGTTCTTCGGCTGGGCACTGCTTCTGCGGCGACAGCCATCGATCCCCCTCCACGAAGGCCAAAGGAGGCTCCGCCGCTTCCGCCTGCTGCGACGTTCGATGATGTCTCACCTTAGGGTACCAGCTGACATCCTTTCTGAAAAACATGGGATGGTGTTCTTAATGGTTTGAACACAGAAGAGCATGCAATATGTATAATGTACATATGCACATATACAGTATATGTATAATATACATGTACATATACAGTATATCTATATATATACCGATATGTATATACATAAATATTATGTATATATACTATGTATATATATATTATGTATATATATATTATGTATGTATATATATATTATGTATGTATATATATATTATGTATATATATATATATTATGTATATATATATTATGTATATATATATATTATGTATATATATATTATGTATATATATATATATACATATAATGTATATATATATATACATATAATGTGCATGTATATATAATGTATATATATATATATATTATGGTTCAATGAATTATATATAAATATGCAAAAATAATATATACATACCTATCTATACATATGTATTTATAATTATTTATATATATATATAAGTCATTGAATAGAGATTCGAGCCCTGTGTAGCTTCCAGTGTTTCCTGTCAGCTACAGCTCTCCATTTTGAAGCCAAGTTCACGAGGCGACGCGTCAGCCAGACCCGCTTCCTCAGGCCCAACAGCTAGAGATCTTGGTGCCACACCCTTTGGATTTGCCCTACATATTTGTACATGTATGTATGTATATATATATATATGTATATCTATATACATATATATATACACTTATTTATGTATATGTATATCTATATATATATACACTTATTTATGTATATGTATATCTATATATATATATATGTGTATATGACTGTATATGTATATCTATACATATATATATATGTATATGTATATGTATATATACAAAGACGGGAACGGAAATGAGCAGCTACAAGTATAACATGTTACCCTCTGGTCAATGAAACATGTGGAGGACCAACTATCAAACAATAAACACATAGATTTTCCACATCTATGTTAGTTTACCGCTGGGTAACATATTTAAAAATGTTTAAAGATGCTTTCTAAAAATCTAAATTCTGTGGAACTTTTCAAATGGCACTAGTGGTACACCGTAAATTGTATGGGTTTCCAACAAATCCCACAGGCTGCACCTTCTTTACCTGGAACTTAAAGGGTCATGCCATCAGTTCAGGACACAACTGAGCGGTGTTCGAAAACGTTGGTGATATCCTGCTGTTATAGATTCCTGGTTGCTTGGGAACGGATTTCCCAGTTGGATTGTGATCATCGTTGATAATCACCAATAATTCTATCCAAGACTATAAAGGATTACAAAGGATATATGGTATAGCCCCCGAACTAATCATCAACCACAAGGCTTTTTGAAGACTGCTTAACTGGGCGAACCCTGGCCATGCTTTTCTGATGGCCATTGGGCCATTGTTCCATTGTTCCTCTGGGATGGTCTACGATAACCCTCAACCGACGAATTTTGAGGGCTACATGTGCCATGGCTTAACTGGGGATCACTCAAATAGCTTCTCAATAGATATCATATCAATGAATTTCTCAATGTTAGTGACTTTTTTTCTCAACAATAAATGGTCCAACAAAAACATAAATGGTGCACCTCCACTTTCACTCAAATTCTCACCAATGCCCCGAAAAATAACATCGCCAGCTCCCAAACACCATCTGATTTGACCAGCTCCTCATGGTGGGTAAATGATCATAATTCCCAGTGAGGCTTAGCGAACAGTGAGGTCGTGATCAAATTGACACAGATGGTAATTTGTTACATAGTTTATTGAACATGGCCATTTTTTTTCGTGAGTTTTCCCATTCAAAATGGTGGATCTTTCCCATCAGTTTCTTGTAAAAACCAGAAGCTACTCATCAATAAGCCATGATTCACCACTACTAACCATCACAATCACAATCATTAACCACTACTAACCATCATTAACCACTATTAACCACCACTACTAACCATCATTAACCACTATTAACAGAGGCTACCCGGCTGGTGAGCTCAGCTCCGCTAGCTCCGCTCGCTCCGCTCGCCGGGCATCTCCGGAACACTCATCCTTTGGAGAAGTTCGTCCAGTTCTTCGGGTTCATGTGCTGACAAGGCTTCCAGCAGACTCCAGGCCTGAAATGCTTCCACGGGGATCCAAGGGAGAAATTCTGGCTATGATAACATCATGAGATTATGTATGTGTATATAATGTATATATGTATATATGTATATATATATGTATGTATATACATATATATTCCAAGTATATATGAAACTCTGTGTATATATGTATATAATCAGCAACCACCGTTGTCGTTGGTTGAATCACCAGTTTGCCACCATCCCATCGAAGCATCCAAGTGGTCACATCCACACTGATTCCAAACACTAATCAGTTAACCAATTATATACAGTGGTTAATATACAGTGGTTAAACACTAAATTCTATGTGTGGTCCCCCATGCCCTAGTTATGTCTGTGGGTGAAAATATTCACAGAAAATGTAGATATATCCACCATGTTTGTCCTTGCTTTTCAGTCAAATTATAGTGACAAATAATATCAAACATGATACAAATACAACTCTTCCAATTTTGACTCAAGTATATATATATATATTACTAATTACATAAATGATACAATGTCTACTAACTAGAAGATATGCTGTCTAACAAAAATAATCCACATATAACAATCATATTCCTGAAAATTAGAGCTATATCCACAATATTCCTTGGTCAACACATTTTAAACATGTTTGGCCATTCATTTACTCCATGTGTTGCTTACTTAGTTCCCATTTTGGGTAGGTTTAATCCCTATGATTGGTGAACCCCCCACGACAGAACCATTTTTGCTGCTTAAAACTGGATCAACCCACATGTGTAGGACATTTCTGTTGATATCTTCCTCATGATGTCATGTGTGTGGCTTTTTATTCTTGTTGGATCTTGGTTTATGCACCATGTTTCCCCAGTTTTTTCACCGCCAAAATCACCCATTTGTTTTTCCTTCCCGCTGATGGTTCCCCTCAGATCACAATTTCCGGAATCCCCTGAGCCATCCATGTTTACATAGTGATGCTGCACCAAATGCAACATTTTTTGGACTTGGGCTGTCTCAAGTTGGTCCCAGGCAAGGCTTTTGGCGGGACCTGCGCCAAATCCGCAAGGCGTCCCCCAGCCAAGGGCCAGGGCGGAGTGGCTTGAGAGGAGGCTAACATAGACCTGGCTGCCGTGACTTGTGCCCCAGAAACCAGTGATTCTATGGTGATAAATCATGGTCAATCTTCATATCTTTGCTAGTCCACAAAACATCATCTTTGGCATATAAAAAACACTAAAGGATTAAAGATTTAACATATGAACCAAATAAATTGTATCCAAATGGAACATGACCGTAACCAAATGAATCATCTTTATCATGTTCCATTTATGGCATATAAAAAACACTAAAGGATTAAACTACCATAAACTACCTATCCAAGGTTGGGGATGACATGGGATTATCATTCCATCATGGGGTGACTTACTAACCTTTTTGACTGGTACAGTATTTCGGGCCATAACTGTAGAAACTCGGAACTATGCACATGTTTTGAGGAATGCTGGATTTTATGAGATTCTATGTTGTTTATGAGAAATCATGTTGAGATTGTGGGACATGTGGGGGGAATCTTGGAGAGATCCCAGATTTGTCAAGGATTTGATGGGACTTTTAGACTGATTGATGTGAATGTTGACTTCTACGGTGTGGATTTGATGGATCTGTATGGATTTCGAGGTTTCCTGACAAGGTGGTAATCCCTAAATCATCCAAAAGTAGACCATTTTCGTATTGGAAGCTATTTCACCTTCTGATGACCTTCGCCCAATGAAATCCACAAACCGATTGAAAGGTTCAGGCGTAAGCCCATGCAACCATGCTTTGGCTTTGTAACGTGCAGCCATAACCATTCATCTCAACACGACCCGTCTGTAGTCCTCTGTGGACGGCAACTGGGAATCCTTTTTGCTTGTGATTTCATCAGAAGCGGCTTGAGGTTCGTTGGACTCCGTCCGCTTTGAGGAGAGGTATTCGACGGTGACGAAGAGCCTCTCCGTGAAGTGCCCCATACACTGTTTCCACCGCAGCATTGCGCACGGCGCTCGTGCACCTGTAGTGCTCTTGGCCCAAGACTTTGGGGATCCCCCAGTCACATTACTTGGTAGTTTGTGAAACTCAACAGCCTCAGGGCTTGGGAACCATGATCTGGATTTATGAGGCTTTCATAATGGATATAGATAGAATTAACAGGGATCTGCTCCTGTAATGTCCCCCAACAAGTGCTCCCCCAACAAGTGCAAAACATCTGCTTGATCTAGTTTGCCTGATATATAATCTAAAATTGATCAATCGCTTGGAAAAGGAGGTTATACTCCAACCCTCACCTATATATACTTTATTTCATGGAATTCTATTTAGTACCAGCTGCCAACCCATCCTAATTTCAGGGATCACCCCAGTAGTTCTACAATTTTGGCTAAAGACTTCTGTGCCAAGTCTATTGTTGTCAATTGAGCCATTAAAAATACCCCCATCCCATCTCATGAACTACTAGTTGGTGTTTTCAACGGTTTCCCATCACGGGTGAATCATAATCCCCAGTAAACCAGGTAGTATAATCATCTGGTAATTTAACATAACTATGGAAAGATCCACCATTTTTAATGGGAAAACTCACTATAAATGGACCATTTTCAATAGCTATTTTGACATAACCAGAGGGTAACCAGGGTATTTTCTTCACTGGGCCATCTCGCATCCCAAAAAAACTTTTCGAGATACCCCGAAATCACCAACAGCACTGGCTGTTTAACATATGGTCACTACGTATGATATGAACCATATATGAACCATATATGAACCATATATGAACCATATATGAACCATATATGAACCATATATGAACCATATATGAACCATATATGAACCATATATGAACCATATATGAACCATATATGAACCATATATGAACCATATATGAACCATATATGAACCATATATGAACCATATATGAACCATATATGAACCATATATGAACCATATATGAACCATATATGAACCAATATATGAACCATATATGAACCATATATGAACCATATATGAACCATATATGAACCATATATGAACCATATATGAACCATATATGAACCATATATGAACCATATATGAACCATATATGAACCATATATGAACCATATACGAATCTGAAATGTTGTATATCATTAATTATTATCTTACCACACCATCAAATGAGTCATGCCCTCGTTGAAGCTCTCTACAGTTGAAGAGGCTGAAAACGGCAACGAAACCAGACAACCCAAGTGGCCAGGAGGGCCATCACAGTCTGGCTGCATCATATCCCGTTGAATTCTTCACCACATAAGCGGAGTATGAATCATGTATCCCCATTCACAGCAAGAACCATAAAGTATACATAAACGAATTCCTTGTCTATCTCAGTAACTGGATTTTATATTGGTGATTTCATACCCCTTGTCCAAGTAGAAAAGTAAGTTACCATCAAGTTGCAACCGACCCACATCAAGTGCCCGAACCTCACGATCAGGAGGTCACAATCTTTGGCTGCACACAGCGCTGCTCCATCCTGGCTGACGACGCTTTCAGGGATGAACATGTCCTCCAGTAAAGACACAAAAAAACTATAGAAATTGATGGTTTTCCCCTTGAAAATGATCTCCAAGTGGTGGATTTTCCATATATTTTTGTATTTTTACTGGAGGGTAATGCTATCATGTCCAGACAATAAATGTTGGAAGAGGATGGGAAAAAGAAAAACTCTCATTTCATTAGAACAGCATGCTCAAGGCCCGAAAAAGGGAGTTTCCGTTTAGTTCACATGTTTAAGGGTATATTTATTGACTGACTTGACGTCATGTTGGAGGCTCCAAATCGTACGGAATCTAAGTGACCCCCCGGTCCTTGCCCCAAATGATGCGAGTGACCCAGGGACCCCTCTTGACAAATGATGGAAGATCCACAGGTAGACCAAGGGCCAAACATGTCGAAACACTCTTGACCCATATCATGTTGTTGGTTACCATCTGGCTATTTAACATAGCCATGAAAAATCCTTTATAAATGGAGGTTTTAATGGGCAAATCAACTATAAATGGCAATTTTCCATGGCTATGTTAGTCATAACCAGAGGGTATATCATACCGAATTATACCCCAAGATATCCATAGATGATACCTCTATCATAATTGGTGAAAAATCCAAATTCTTGTGTCCAAAAAACATACATTCTTGCCTGTATATCCCACATCCAGATCATCCAGGTACTTGGATGGTAAAACTTCAACTGACGCTTCCGGCTCTCCTTGCCACTGACCATGAAGGCCGGAATCTTCGGCAACTTCTCCCCAAAAAGGCCCATCCGGAAGGGTTCCTGCCCCAAAAAAGGCCATCATGAAAAACAGCCATTGTGTAACCATCAAATACCCACTACATAAGTAATATATATATATAGTGGGTATTGTATCAAATTATATAGCCATATATAGTGGGTATATATATATATATAGTGGGTATATAGTGGGTATATATATATATATATAAGTAGCCATCAAATAGCCACTATATATATATATATATAATTATATATATATATCAACTTGTATCTTTTTTAACCCAATGCATAGTGTTGGTGAGTAATCTCCCATTCCATCCCACTAGATTTTATCAGTTCCCAGTATATAACCATTATATAGTCATATTGAACGATGTATCCTGCCAGTAATTTTAACATAGCTATGGAAAATGGGCAATTTATAGATGATCTACCTATTCAAAAGGATGATTTTTCCATAAGAAATGATGTTTATCCATTTCAAAGTCACATAGATCCTGTAAATAGGGGGAGGATTAGTTTCTGCTGCAAACCGGCTATTTTCATGCTCTATGATAATTGAATAACCATTAGATAGACATTCTATCCCATTAAATCCCATTAGTTATGTTGTTTTTGCCATATCAAACAGTATTAAACATTATTAAACAATGATATTCCCATTGAATTGTATTCCCATCCCCTCATCATAAAGACATTATATACATGTTCCGTTTTATATGGAACATACCATTTATATTCCAAATCAATTTAAGTATTAATATATATATATAATTATTGTTATATAAAATAGTTAATGTTATGGTCCATTTATATTCCATGTATATTGATGGTCCACTTTATACACCATACCCCCATCCTCATCCACATCTCCCTCCACGACTATACGTATAGCCATATTAAACATGATTAAACTATTAATATTCTCACAATATTCTCATTATATATGCCATTTCACATAGCCATTACATACATATACTGTTTGTTAGTCATATCCCAACATATTAAACACTATTCAATCATAAGCATCCATAAACTATAGTAAAACCCCATTATCCCACTATACAACTGTATAACCAGTAAAACCATTATCCAATTGTATTAAACCATTGATATTAAACACGATTAAACCATATACATCCATATACGATATACATCCATATACCATCCCATTATATCGCCACTATACATGGTGAATCTTGGATACCTGTCCAAACACGTCTCCTTTTTAGCTGCTGACTCTACAAAAAATACCGTTGATAGCAACAAATCATTGGGAAAACATAGGAGAATCAAGGGAAAAACACCGATTTGCTCGTGGATTTTCCATCGCTTTTTCTTAGTTTACGGTGACTGGGAGGGTAGATCAATTGTTAAGTGATTGTTTTGGCAGGATCTTGTGGAAGGAACATAATCCACAGAAGTCCCGACAACTTTCATACATATATTATATTAAACCATTAAACATCATCAAACCATACATAGTACTAGTAACTATGTAACCACTATAACCCCCCATCATTTTCATGTTCATGTTCCCATTTTTTGATATCAATCTAACCATATCTAACAATTAAACCCATTGTATTTAACCATTGATATTCAACACGATCAAACCACACCTAGCCACTATATAACCACAATAAATAAGCCCCCATCATATGTTCATGTAAATGTTATCCATTTTGTTTGAATCTATCTCTCTCTCTCTCTATATATATATATATGATATAACCATTATATTCACTATAAGCTTCCATAAATTTCATACATATTGAACCATTCAACATCATTAAACCATATAAAGAAACCACATACCATCCCATTAGATAGCCACAGTACATGGTGAACATAACCATAAAACCATAAGATATCATTAAACAGTCGTTAAATAAGTCACCATATTTTGATCTTAATCTTACCCACATTTTCTTGGTGTATATACATATGATACATATGTATATATAAATCAATCCATCAATCCATCAATCCATCAATCTCTCTCTCTCTCTCTATCTATCCATCCATCCATCCATCTATCTATCTAACATGATATAACCATTAAACATCATTAAACCATAGCTCCATCCCACGTCCCACGTCCTGCACGTCCAAGTCGTTGAAGACCAGCACCGCACTGGCGCCCGCCTGCTCGGCCGAGCTCACGGCCTGCGCCCAGTTGTGCACCTCGCAGCCGGCGGCCGAAAAAACGTGGGAAACCCAGGAGTAAAATGGCAGAAATCCTGGGAAAATGCCAGGAAACTGCTGAGAAATGTGGCAAAAAATGGTGAACAAATGGAAAAAAACATGCTGGGAATGGGAAAAATGGATGTTGGAAAAGCTGGGAAAAGACAGAAACATCTTGGAAAAATGCTGGGACAATTGGTGATTTTGGAAAATTTGGGGCTGTTGAAAAAAGGTTGAGATTTTGTTTTGGTTGGGTGTTTTCGGAGAAACATTTAGGACGATTTGGGGTGTTGGAAAGTGTGAAGTTAAAACATATTTGGAAGTTTCCTGAAATAGGGCTACCCCCAAATCATCCATTTTGATAGGATTTTCCCTCTTAAACCATCCAGCTATTGGGGATCCCCCATTGATGGAAAAGCCCGTTTGGAAAGATCTGAGGTGGAGTTTAGCCTGCATGGTTGAAGTATGAAAACAGCAACGAGTCAACCATATAAATACAATTTTGGAAACCGTTGATGTATGTATATGAAAAACTATACACATGTTTTTGAAGCAAAAAAAGATGAACAAAAGATGGAAGTTGTGGTTAAAGATATCTCCTGGATACTGTTTTGGAAGAGCCCTCACAAAGCATCTGAAAGTTGGGAAAGGTATGGTTCCAGGAAATTTCCACGGAGCAGCTTGCTTGGAACATCTTGTTTTCTGAAAAAGAAAGAATCGCTATCAGTGATTTCGACGAAAGGAAACTACAGGGCTTGGTCTTAAGTTAAGAGTTTTCAGTACCCAAATGGAGGTTTCCTGAAACAGGGGTACCCCCAAATCATCCATTTTAGTGGGTTTTCCCATTCCCATATGCTCCATGTATGGAATATTTACCAACATTTGCCCTAAAAATTACCCAAATGCAGGTAAATATACCATACCTGGAGCATCTGGGATTATAAACCATCCATTTGGGGTACCCCCATTGGTGGTTAAACATCCCTTGGGGGTGTCGACAAATCGTGCCTTGGAGGAGGAGCGGATGGATCTGCGGGACATCAACACCGCCCTGCCCTTCTTCCTTGGCAGTTCGGAGGTTTTTAGTGGTGATATCTCAAGGTGAAACTAACAGTTTAGCTATTGAACATGGCCATAGAAATAGTGGATTTACCCATTGAGAATGGTAAAATGGCCATAGACATAGTGGATTTACCCATTGAAAGATGGTGGATCTTTCCATAGTTATGTGAAAGTTTACCAGAGGGTATCTCAAGGTTCAGATCACTGAAATCTGGGATACCGAGACATCATGAAACACTTTAAGGGGATGTGAAATATGAAACAACCACTTGCAATTGTGGTTGCTGATTGAGCCAAGCTCAATGTTCAAACTTGGGATACCTCAAAAATGCGGATTCCGAAATGTGTGGTCCATACCAAAAAAAGAGGAGTCCATCTTCTGGGGATGAGGGATAACTGTGGCTAACCTTAGATACCCAAAGAGACGCAATCTTGAGCTGGTGAGTCAATCTTTCCGAAATTCCAAGATGTATATACATATATAATTATGTAATATAATATAAATAAATATAATATGTATATAATATGTGCATATATATATATACACGCAAAATATGTGGGTATGTATGTATGTGTGTATGTGTGTATGTGTATATGTGTGTATGTGTGTATGTGTGTATGTGTGTATGTGTGTATGTGTGTATGTCTGTATGTATGTATGTCTGTATGTATGTCGGTATGTATGTCTGTATGTATGTATGTATGGTAATGTAATGTAATGTAATGTAATGTAATGTAATGTAATATATGTATGTATGTATGTACGTATGTATGTATGTATGTATGTATGTCTGTCTGTATGTATGTATGTGTATATGTATGCATATGTGCATGTATGTATGTGTATGTGTATGTGTATGTATGTATGTGTATGTGTATGTATGTGTATGTGTATGTGTATGTGTATGTGTATGTGTATGTGTATGTGTATGTGTATGTGTATGTGTATGTATGTGTATGTGTATGTATGTGTATGTGTATGTGTGTGTATGTATGTATATGCATGTATATGTGTATGCATGTCTATGTATATGTATGTATATGTATGTAAATGTGTGTGTATGTATGTGTATGTATATGTATGTATATGTATGTATATGTAAATGTATGTGTATATGTATGTGTATATGTATGTGTATATGTATGTGTATATGTATGTGTATATGTATGTGTATATGTATGTGTACATGTATATGTATATTAAATGTATATGTAGATGTATATGTGTATGTGTGTATGTGTGTATGTGTGTATGTGTGTATGTGTGTATGTCTCTATGTGTGTATGTGTGTACGTGTGTACGTGTCTACGTGTGTACGTGTGTACGTGTGTACGTCTGTATGTGTGTACGTGTGTATGTGTGTATGTGTGTATGTCTGTATGTCTGTATGTCTGTATGTCTGTATGTCTGTATGTATGTCGGTCTGTCTGTATGTCTGTATGTCTGTCTGTCTGTATGTCTGTATGTCTGTATGTATGTGTGTATGTGTGTATGTGTGTATGCGTGTATGCGTGTATGTGTGTATGTGTGTATGTGTGTATGTGTGTATGTGTGTATGCATGTGTGCATGTGTGCATGCATGCATGTATGCATGTATGCATGTATGCATGTATGCAAATATGCATGTATGCATGTATGCATGTATGTGTGTATGCATGTATGCATGTATGCATGTATGCATGTATGCATGCATGCATGTATGCATGCATGCAGTATGTATGCATGCATGCATGCATGCATGCATGCATGCATGTATGTATGTATGCTGCAAAAAACTTTGATACAAACATCCTTAACAAGTATCTTTTTCTTTTTAGGACAAATAGAGGGATCTGTTTGGTATATTATTTATTGGGGTACACACATATATATATATATATGTATGATATAATATATATATATACAATAATATGTACACACACACACCTAAATCGGTAGTTTTTCATGGGTGGAAGGATCTTTATCAACCGACCGTTGTGGGAAAAGGACAAGCCGCTATGTCCTCAACCAAGCCCAGTTGCCGTGGGTCGGAGATGTATTCATCTGCGCCCACCAAGGCATTCTCCTTACGCAGTGGACAGTCTGAGCTACCCTGTAAAGAACCATGGGGTTATAAGATGTTATAAACCTATATGTACATACTGTATGCAAGTGTATATATACATTATTAATATATATATATATAATATATATATATATACATCCCCATTTATGGCAAAACATGTGTACTCAAACGTTGACCCAGATCTCTTTTTTGGATTTGAGATTTGAGGCTGTCACCAGGCTTGGCCCGGGCCGCCACTTGAAACAGCGCCCTCAGCTCGCTCGGCTCCTCGAAAAAGATAGGCAATCTGCAGGAGGACACGGTTTGCCAAGGGCTGTCCTGTCATGACCAAGCAGCAATCGTGGATTTCCAGATAAAGGAGAAACAATCTTTCAAGATCTTTCAAAAACAATCTCAATTTCCAGCAATGCTGAGAAAACGGATTTTCTTAAGGGATCCCTCCCTAAAATACCCTCTGGTAATTTAACATAACTATGGAAAACCACCATTTTTAATGGACAAACTCACTATAAATGGCCATTTTCAATAGCTATGTTAAATTACCAGAGGGTAACATCTACTTAGTATACGTTCCACTGGGATTTCCAGATTTCCCCCATGGAAAATCCATCTGTGCACCGATTTTTCATTGGTCAAACTGGTCTCCTGTTGTAGAATTACTATTGTTAAACAACTCATGTTATAATGTTCCCATCTATTGAAATCAATTGATTAAGCCACCCCAATTACTGTTTTTTTTTAATGGCTAAATCCCTATCCTTTATTACTTTCATGGCTCAGAAACGGTGTCCCAAACGCCATGGGAACCTTGTCCATTGCTGGTGGTGGTGGATGTTCTGGCTCGTTGATCATGTTACGATTCCACGCAGCCGGAATCGCAGAGCATGTGAACGGTGTCTCGCCCGGCCTGCGCTTGAAATGGAGAGACCATTGGTTACAAGGTGCTGCCCTCCCACCGCTTGTAAGGTGGCTATAAAAACCCTTTTGACTATATATAGATATCTAATATTATCTAATGAATTCTAATGATATCTGTAGAATTCTAGAGATATATACACACAATCACACACATGGTTTCACATCGAGGTTTCCGTTTCGTCATGGGGGTACTCCCAAATCCTCATGTCTCATCCGAATGTTCTTTTGGGATTCTCACATCCGATCATGAACTGATGAACACCCCGAGAGTCTCCATGTCGGTTTCTATTCATGAACGGAATAACGTCCACAGAGAAATGATACAGGCTTCATGAGGTTTCCTAACCTGGTTGTACCCCCAAATCATCCAAGTCAATAGACAATTTTCAGGTACCATTGGGGGGTAAATTGGGGAAATATTGAAGGTAAAATGACCCATTTACCACCCTTGCGGCTATCATTTTACCTACAATGGGTTGGAGCAACCCTGATTTTAGTATTGAAACCTATGGTGACTTGGGGATCCTCCATGACTTAAGAACCCCCCTAAGACAGCCTCGTAGCGTCGAGGGTGTGCACTGCGGCGTTCTCAGCCAGCAGATTGGCCTTGCTCTCAAAGTTGGCCAAAGTCACCTGCAGCGGAACTCGGCTTGGCGGATTTTTCGTTGGAAAAACCTGGGGGTAAACTAACATAAGAGGTGCAACATGAATGAATTTGCCCATTTATAGTTAATTTAGTTATAAGACAATGGTGATTTTCCACATCTATGTTACTTAGTTTAAAAAGGAGGGTAAATGACAGTTAAGTTATGGTTTACTGCCACCCTCTGGTGTCACTAAACGTGGCAATGGAAAATCCCCGAACTGACATTTCTACCTGGAAATATTGATCGATAAATTGGGATCCCAATTTGTGATGCTCAGGGTTGCTCCTAACACCCCAGATACAACGGAGGGAACATGTATAAATATTTATCATGGCTTCCCTATATAAATATATATAAACCCATCAGCATACATTATACATATCATGAGCATATCATTTACATATCATGGCTTTGCTCATATACTCTAAATTCGCTCCCTGGAGTTTTTTCAAAGTTAAGTAAGTTTTACCAGCAATCAAACATGGCGCTTTGAACATCCAGCAAGTTCGTTGTGTTTTTCCAACAGTCCAATGTTCTTGGTGCATGTCCAATGTTCTCCCACAATTTTTCCCATGCCCAGCGGCCAAATCCGGTGCAGAGCCATCCCCCAGGCTTGGACATGCCTAGGCGGAGATGTAGCCATGAAGTGGGGCGTACAGTCTTTTCTGGCTGGTGATGTTGTTCTTGTTTGCTGATTTAATGGTGATTAAGTTTGTTTCAATGGTTGAATCATGATGAATCTTGGATACCTGCCAAAAAAATCGTTTTTTAGCTGGTGAATATACATTTTACCATTGATAGCAAAAGATTAAAGTGCTAGTTCGTATCTAACCAAGGTTGACCCACTTATTACGAAATGAATTCTATCTTGGATTTGCTTTAAGGAACCACTCAAAAACAACAACTCTTACCTCAAAAGATTCCCCATTTCTAGTGGACATTGGCAATATAACAACTTATTGACCCAGTAAATCCAGGCTATGGGATGCAACTGTGACTTAATGGGATAGTCAATGATATATTTGATGGGAAAAATGGGATAACCAGTCACAATGGGGACAGAATTGTGATTAAAAAATATCTGCTAGGAGGTTTCAACTCTGAGAAATATGATATAGTCAATGGGGATCATCTTCCAATTTCTATTGGTGAAACCAGATACTTCAAACCACCAGATTTCTTGTGATGCTACCGAACCATACTTTCAAGATCTTTCAATGGACCAGCAAGCATACGGAGCAGCAAACGTTGTTTTTTTTCAATCATGTTCTAGTTGGTGGTTTTAACCAACCAGAATATAACCATTATTTTCCCATCATATTCCAATGATATTCCCATACCATTATTAACCATTTATAACCAACCAGATGTTTTTCTATGGTTAGAAGAGTCAAAACAGCAAAATCCAGTAGTCTGTAGTTCCTCGATCTGCTGAAATCCCCACCGTTAATGAACAGATGGGATCCCGTTCCCATGACAAATCGGCGGGTGGACATCCGAAAAGATACTCTGCAAAAAACAACAATTTATTTTTTTCTAGCTGGTCATTATCCATCCTCATTTAAAGCAGCAAATATGTACATATATATATATATATCCATCAGTATCCATCCATGTCCAAAGTAAATTTATCCAAAGTATGAACTGTTCCTCATATCCATATAAAGTATATATCATTCTATGAGGATTTCCTAAGTCATGGGGGTACCCCAAAATCATCCAAGGTATAGCCACCCTGCAGAGATTTCCACCTGCGAAGTGGAAATCCATTGTCATTCAATGGAAGATTCCCATGGATAGACGATTGTATTCCCATGATATAGTTGCTTGATACAGTATATGTTTATAATATACCCTCTGGTTATGACTAACATAGCTATAGAAAATCATCATTTTTAATAGGTAAACCATCTATATATAAATGGGTCATTTTCCATAGCAAACTGTTAGTTTACCAGAGGGTATATCCATCAATATCCCAGTATTATCCCATCACCATTCCATTATCATCCCTATAAAACCATATTAAACCATATATATATATATATACTATCTATTCTTCATCTCGTTGGGCTCGCCTTAACTGCTAAGTCACGGTCCATGGTGATTTGGACCCAGATTTTCCATCAAAAAGGGATCATCATTGATCATCCACCAGAATCCGGTCCACCAATGATTCGATGATGTTCAAAGCAGCCAAACAATTCTACGCGTAAACGCTAAAACCCTAGGGTATCTATGGAATCAGATCTCATTTTATGGTGGGTCAATCTACTGACCAAGTAGTCAAGCCTAGGGACAAGCTCCTGAAACAACTCATGGTGAAACTCGGCCCATGATGGCACCAGTTCATCCTCATGCGCCATCAATAAGTTGTTGGCCATTCCTGCAACAGGCCCGCCATGTAACAATGCCCATGCCCTTTGTTCAAGTGGAAGTATGCATATGATATATCTATGTACATGTATAATCATGAACTTGTGTATATATAGTTACTGTACATATCACAATAAAATTGTACTTACAGTATGTATATTGTATGTACATACTGTACATGTATACATGCATAGGCTCTAATAGATGTATTTCATCATGTGTATATACATGAGTCTAATATGTATATAGACATATACATTGATTCACACATAGATACATTCAATGCAGCAACTTTGCGTGGACTGATGACTGATGCCCCTTGCCATTTTGTCAAACACTTACACTAGATAATTTCACTGCGGTACTTGGCCATTGGCAGTGTATGTTTCATGATGCGTCATGACATGACATGAGATGTCATGACTACTCCATGCATGTATATATGTACACATATGTATGTACGTATCTTCATGACATTCGCATTAATTTGCACTTCAATTTCCCCTGTTCGTAGCTATTCCATTGTGTCAAATACTTACAGGTCAAAATACTTCCCATCCTTGCAGATTGTACACGTCTCCAAACAAAATAATATGGGATGTCCATAATTGGGGGGTTACCTCAAAATGGATGGTTTCTGATGGAAAATCTCACTAAATGGATGATGTTTATGACTGGGGGTACCCCCATGACGAAACGGAAACCTCCATCTCCTTGTTTGTTGATCCATTGCATGTGTTGTTGATGAATGGCCGGATTAGTTCTGTTGCTTCAACCCCACATGTCGCGGCTTAAAATTACATGTTCTCTCTCTTAAATCCCCAAAGAACATAAATCAATGATGTTCGTAGAGCAATAACCATCCCCAAGCTTACCATAAATGGGTGCTGTAAACCATCAAAATATGGGTGGTTTATTATTGCTTTGCCAACATTATGATGAAGAAGAGGTGTTCCCCAAATAACATGATGTTGGTTGAGTTCCTGCACAACATATGTCAAACATCCAGCGCTAGAAACGATTTCATTTTGCTGCTTAAAACCCAGTTGGTGTGCTAAGATAAATCGGGTTTATCAAAAAACTAGAACAACTTAGTAAAAGTATACTATTCTTATTTGTTTGCTGGTCACAAATTTGCTTGCCAAACAATCCCCATTTCTGTTGGTCACATATCAAGCACAATTCCCAAAAAATATATAGGTTAAACATCATCACTTTTGGCTCAAAATCCCAATCGTGTGTTTGAGCATCCCAAAGTTTGGTCAAGAAAAGCACGCTTTTTGTGAACAGAAAATTCCACGAAAACATGATGGTTAAACATGGTGGTCAAACATCCTATAATCTATATGTTGGCTACATTCATAATTTTTAGTGGTCAAATTCTAAAAAATACTTGAGCCGTGTCAAGACCGATTGGAAAATCTCAGACTGGTTGGTTCGTTGGGATTCCCGCTTCGATTTAATCTAGAAAAGGCAGGTTCGCATCCCCCAACCAATCAACCAGTTGGAGTTCCTCAGCATCCCCTTAGTAGAGTTATACCAAAAAAATCATAACCTGCTTATTTAATGGGTTAGTTCTTACTATCCCAGAATCAGAGCATGACATATAGTCAACCATATTTCTCATAGATCCATAGTAATTATCTCATAATGACACCATCATTATCCCGTTGTTTTTTTAGGTTTGCCTCATTGCAAGTTAAATCCACATCTGGGTAAATACAATTTCCCAAACAATTTCCCCAATCAGATCGCAATTTTGAGACAAGAAAAGCTATGATTATCCCGGAGTTCTTCCATATTTATCCCAAAATCTCCATGAATTTACCTAGGTTTGTCTGAAAATAGGGTACCCCATTCCATCTACTTTTAATCATAATTTTCCCTATTTCATCTGGCCATACATTGGGGGTTAAATCCCCATTCCTACACACACCATTATAACCGTCATCACTTCTCTCCATATTTCTTGGTTCAATCCCTATGGACAAATCCAAACATACTATTTGGCATGGTATGTCCAGAAATAACCACATGAAATGTACTATTGGCTACTTATCCACATATATATATATATATCCACAATTTTCCCACAAGATGTCCCTCTGGATCCCCATATTTTCAAACAAACCCACCTCATATATCCCCATCCAAAAAGGTTCGCCAACGCCGCATGACGGCATGATGATATGAAGGTTTCCGAAGTCAGGGGGTACCCCAGTCGTCATCCATTTTAGATTGGGATTCTCCATGATTTTCCATGATAAACCATCCAGCTATTGGGGTACCCCCATGTCAAGAAACCGCCATGTCATGATCATGGTGTCCTTCCATCTCAGGCAACATCTCCGCATTCATCTCGAAGGGCATCGGAAAGGCCGGCACTGGCTCCGGCGCCGGAGTCGCCGGCGCTCCCGTGTCCGTTGCCGGCTCTGGGTCGGGGTCCTGGCGGTCCGGGGGAATCGGAGGTCCAGCTGATTCGGGATAAATTGGGTTGTAACTACAACTAATAAGGGTTTATTGTATAATATTGTATATATGTATACCCTCTGGTAAATTAACATAGACCCTGGCAAATAGGGGTTGGAAGACTTGTTTCCATTAAAAATTGGTGATTTTCAGGGTCTATGTTTATTTACCAGAGGGTATATGTATTTATATCATTGTACATCATATACAGTATATCTGGCTGAATTACAAAAAAAACACTAGGCTGAAAATAGCTGAAGTACAGTAAGGCCACTTGGGGATGATTCCCCTTACCCGCCATCGTTCCAGTGACGTCACAGTGTGCAATGGGGGTTATGAATCAACTTAAGTAACGGCAGGTGGGCCCTTGTAAGGAATTAGCACATTCAACTCTGGGGGGTTAAATACATACCCCATTGGATCCATGGTGCTGGTATATATATGCTAACATGACTGGGGTATATTGATGGTAAATGTTACCATATATGGCATACATGGATCCTATGGGTATGCACTTAAGCTTGTTATACGTCCATTGTTTCTGAAAAGTGCCTAAGGTTTCTTTTCTGTCACGGAGATCGGCCAAAACAAAATTTCCAGTTCTAAGGTCAACGAAAGATGTTGACTAAGCACATTTTGCAGGGACATCGTTTGTTTGGTACAGGCAATGAGAGGATATGTATATATTTACAGTTATATATATAATACAAATATAATTGCATAGCTGTCTTGCCACACATGGGAAACATATTAATCAATCACTGTAGTGATTATATCAATTATGCGAGTATATCACTTCTTTTGTTGTGACTACATCAGTTGTTTGTCGCAATTGTTGCTGATGAGTCCAATATTCGATATTTCAATCTTCGTTTTTGCCTGGCTATATCGCTTGCATCAACGCCTTTTTCTTGGTAATGACCCCACTTTAAGGAGTGGTCAGGTTGCCAGAGTTGGGGATTCACGGGGATTTAAACGTAGCTGTGTAAAAACATGGCTGTATGGCTGTCTAGCTGCCTGGCGAATTCATTGATAAAAAACACGAACACGTCCCTGAACCTATATATATATATAGCATATAGTTGGTTAATTGATTTCTCATTATTTTCTCTATAGTCCGTAATGTTCATTTCTTGAAAGTAGGCATAGAATAACATGATCACATCATGGAAATCCCCATGTTTTCGCTGAAAGATTCTCATCCTTAGATGCTGAAAAAAAGCGGATTCCAATCATCACACTGAGAGCTGGAAAAAATGAGTCTAGCATAAAAAAAAGTACCTACTTCAGCATGGATATCGGCAATCAAATGAACACCAAAGATTCCTCTGCATAAAAAACCATCCACCAGTGAATCTACCCGTATTTCTGCCGATGAAGTCCCATATTTTGTTCCCTGCCGATAAAGTAACTCCCAATCTCCGCTCTTTGAATCACAATTGTCCCAATAATTCAGGAATCAGTCCCATATTTTGTCTTTGGTTTTAATAACAATTGGGAACTTGAATTTGCCAAAGACAAAAATTAAATTTAACCCGCAAAATTCAAGGCTTGGATAACACATCGACCGGGTCAGCCCAAAAAAAAGAAACTGCGCAAAAAACGAGCAACAAAGTGGGATTTGGAGCAGCAAAAAACGATGGATTCGATTCTATGGATTTCTATGGTATGTTCCATTGATTTCAATCAACTTCTATGGTGGTTTCCCTTGATTTCAGTGGATTTCTATGGCGAAATCACCGGCGAAAGTGCCTTGCTCTCCGCCAGGGCGTAGGCCAGCGAGCGCACGGCCGCGCGCACGCCGTTGCGCGCCGTGGCCTCGCTGGCCTCCAGCAGGCAGTGCAACCTGGGCGAAGGGCTCCTCAGGGAGATTTGTTTTCAAGTTAAACCTACTGGTTTAGAACTGGTTATTTCTATCCCATAGGATCCATGTATGGTATATATGCTAACATGACTGGAGTATATTGATGGGATCCATGTTACCATATATGGCATACATGGATCCTATGGGTACTGGTTTAGAACTGGTTATTTCTATGGGATTATACATTCTATAAATGCACTTATACGTTCTATACTATACATTTTCATGGCCAATGGCCGTGGCTGTGATTCAACCATGATAGAAAATGGTATGATATTTCCATCCATAACCATTTGCAGATTCACCACGGCCAATCATTAGATACCCTGCAAAAAAAAATACTCCTCAGCTGGTAAACGTAGATAATCCAATACCAAAAGACTAAAGGATTAGTTGGTACCCATCCAAGATTGACCTAGATATTTTATTCACCATGCAGTTATGGCCATTAGTTATAAGGGCCATAACTGGTGATTTTTATGGGACGATACATTCTATAACTGGGGTGACTTAGTACGGCCATAACTGGTATATAAAGGGCCAGAACTGTGGGTATGGGTCACCAAGGAGGTCACCACGGCTGATTCAAGGGGTTTTTACATGTTGTTTTTAACCATAAATCAATGGGTTAATTGGTGACCAATGTTCACCATGTTTATCAATTTTTCATGACCATAAATGATATTCAACCATAGGGTTATTTAGCATTTTTACGGGGTAGTGATAGGAATGATATTCACTCTATAAGCCTTCCCCCTAAACATTAATCCATAGAAATGATATTCTAAGGTTATAGTGGTTGAATGGATGCATCCACGGGAATATTTAATGATGAAATGCTGTTTGTCTAGTAGTACGGTATAGCCATGAAAATGGTACCACTTGATGATGATTCACCACGAGATAGGTATGATTCTATGCCATCATGATTTAGTCTGGAATGATGAGCCGCTCGATTTAAGGGGGTACCCTATTTTCAGACAAACTCATGGCTGGTTTTAAGCGGTGAAACATGGGGGGTTATCCTCTGTTTCACCACGGAATATCATGGGATATATAAAATACATATACAGGTTTAATTGGAATATCATATGGGAATATCATGGGATATACCAATAAGATGTGCTTTTTTGAGTGCAGGAATATATTCGTATACACGCATATATAGTGGGAGAATGGGATAACGATCATTGGGATAGAAACTAAGATTTCCAGGATAAAACTAACCACAATGGGGAGAAGAAACACTCATAATATACCGTGAAACATCACCAGCAAAAATCGGTATCAAACAACACCAAGAGAATATACATATATATATGTATATAATGGGATATAACTGGGGATATTTTACCAACAAGACTTGAGGATTCAATCATGGAGATCCGATGGAACATTTCATGGGAGATATGGCCAAAACATGAAACAGGCTGCAAAAACCTGCCTTAAAACAGTCATATATATTTTTCCAATCTTCAGGGGATAAAAACAAATCAGACATATAAGTCATGAAAGTCACATGAAGTGGATGCTTGAAACATGACCTTAAACCTTTCTGGCAGGTGATGAAAGAAAACAATCCCAAGAAAAATGATGGTCATCTCAACCAATCATCCCTCTGGCATGGTTGACACACAATAAAAGTCGGAGGTGTCCTAAGTCATGGAGGTACCCCCAATTCATCCAAGTCATTAGACCACTATTGAAGCATATTGAAAATTATTGAACCATCGAAACCTATGGTTGGGGATCTCCCATTTTAAGAAACCATCCATAATTGGAAACCCTTAACCAGCTTTGAACCTCCGATACCTCCGGCAATGTTGACCCAATATTCGTGCGTCTGGGATGATCCACGTAGAACCATTTTTGGGATGATGAACTAAGGCCACATTTGGAATCGGTGCTGATCTCCCCACGTACTTGAGGGCAAGGGGTAAGGGACGAAAGCTAGCTTAGAAGGTAGCGCAGTGGCGGTCTCTTTTGGGCGATGTTGAGGGTCATGTTCAAAGAGAAGCAGAGCAATGCAGGCTTCGGCAGCTCTCACACACATACTGAATGATATGGTTGCTCATGTTACTGGTATCCCCAGGCAGGGATTGAACTCGCGACCAAACTGCTTGCGAACCAGCCCGGGGACGGGGGACGGGGGACGGGGGAGGGTAGTTAAGAGAGAAGTCATGTATGTTGGAGGGGACAAGGATGAGAATATATGATTGTTGCCTACTGTTGCACGAAGCAAGTGAAGACATTCAGCATAGACAAGTTCATGACAACTGAGTCGGGAAAATTCAAAGGTCCACCGTGGGCACCGGAGTGGACCTTTGGAAGCGTGAGAAGAAATAACGCAGTGCAAGGCGACAGTTTACGACGACAGGTAGATGTGCGCACACAACATGAAAATGGAGCAAGGCCAAGGTTCCATACAACGTCAAGTGTGAAAAGGGCAAAGTTGTCAGGGTCTAAAGTCAAGTGTACAGTGGAAAGTGTGAAAGCGTAAACCTTAGAGTGTGAGTGCCACGTGTAAAAAGTAGAGTGCGGAGTGCGAAGTGTAGAATGTGAAGTGTAAAGTGTATAGTGTGGAGTGTGGGGTGTAAAGTGTGATAAAATTTGGAGTGTAAAGTGTGGAGTGTAAAGTTTAGAGTGTTAACTGTGGCGTGTAAAGTACGCTAAGAGTAAAGTGTAAACTGTCGAGTGCGGAGTGTGGCGTGTAAAGTGTGGCGTGTAAGTTTAGAGTGTAAAGTGTGGAGTGTAAAATGCGGAGTGCAGAGTGCACAGTGTCGGGGAAAATTCAAAGGTCCACCGTCGGCACCGGAGTGGACCTTTGGAAGCGTGGGAACAAATAATGCAGCGAGCGGCGAAAGTTCAAGACGACAGGTAGGCACGCAACATGATAATGGAGCTAGGCCAAGGTTCCATAATATAAGTCATGAAAGTCACATGAAGTGGATGCTTGAAACATGACCTTAAACCTTTCTGGCAGGTGATGAAAGAAAACAATCCCAAGAAAAATGATGGTCATCTCAACCAATCATCCCTCTGGCATGGTTGACACACAATAAAAGTCGGAGGTGTCCTAAGTCATGGAGGTACCCCCAATTCATCCAAGTCATTAGACCAGTATTGAAGCATATTGAAAATTATTGAACCATCGAAACCTATGGTTGGGGATCTCCCATTTTAAGAAACCATCCATAATTGGAAACCCTTAACCAGCTTTGAACCTCCGATACCTCCGGCAATGTTGACCCAATATTCGTGCGTCTGGGATGATCCACGTAGAACCATTTTTGGGATGATGAACTAAGGCCACATTTGGAATCGGTGCTGATCTCCCCACGTACTTGAGGGCAAGGGGTAAGGGACGAAAGCTAGCTTAGAAGGTAGCGCAGTGGCGGTCTCTTTTGGGCGATGTTGAGGGTCATGTTCAAAGAGAAGCAGAGCAATGCAGGCTTCGGCAGCTCTCACACACATACTGAATGATATGGTTGCTCATGTTACTGGTATCCCCAGGCAGGGATTGAACTCGCGACCAAACTGCTTGCGAACCAGCCCGGGGACGGGGGACGGGGGACGGGGGAGGGTAGTTAAGAGAGAAGTCATGTATGTTGGAGGGGACAAGGATGAGAATATATGATTGTTGCCTACTGTTGCACGAAGCAAGTGAAGACATTCAGCATAGACAAGTTCATGACAACTGAGTCGGGAAAATTCAAAGGTCCACCGTGGGCACCGGAGTGGACCTTTGGAAGCGTGAGAAGAAATAACGCAGTGCAAGGCGACAGTTTACGACGACAGGTAGATGTGCGCACACAACATGAAAATGGAGCAAGGCCAAGGTTCCATACAACGTCAAGTGTGAAAAGGGCAAAGTTGTCAGGGTCTAAAGTCAAGTGTACAGTGGAAAGTGTGAAAGCGTAAACCTTAGAGTGTGAGTGCCACGTGTAAAAAGTAGAGTGCGGAGTGCGAAGTGTAGAATGTGAAGTGTAAAGTGTATAGTGTGGAGTGTGGGGTGTAAAGTGTGATAAAATTTGGAGTGTAAAGTGTGGAGTGTAAAGTTTAGAGTGTTAACTGTGGCGTGTAAAGTACGCTAAGAGTAAAGTGTAAACTGTCGAGTGCGGAGTGTGGCGTGTAAAGTGTGGCGTGTAAGTTTAGAGTGTAAAGTGTGGAGTGTAAAATGCGGAGTGCAGAGTGCACAGTGTCGGGGAAAATTCAAAGGTCCACCGTCGGCACCGGAGTGGACCTTTGGAAGCGTGGGAACAAATAATGCAGCGAGCGGCGAAAGTTCAAGACGACAGGTAGGCACGCAACATGATAATGGAGCTAGGCCAAGGTTCCATACAGTGTCAAGTGTGAAAAAGGCGAAGTTGTGGGGGTCTAACGTGAAGTGTAAAATGTAAAGTGCGAAAGCGCACAGATTAAAGTGTGAGTGTCACGTTTAAAAGTAGTGTGTGGAGTGCCAAGTGTACAGTGTGGGTGTACAGTGTGGACTGCGGACGGAGTGCGAAGTCTAAAGTGTGAAGCATAAAGTTTAGAGTGTAAAGTATGGAGTGTAAAGTTTAGCGTGCAAAGTGTGGAGTGTAAAGTGCGTTAACAGTTGAGTGTAACATGTCGAATGTGGAGTGTAACGTGTAAGGTGTGGAGTGTAACGTTTAGCGTGTGAAGTGTGGAGTGTAAAGTGCGCTAACAGGTAAGTGCAACATGTCGAGTGTGGAGTGTAACGTGCAAGATGCGGAGTGTAAAGTTTAGCATGTAAAGTGTGGACTTCAGAGTGCGAAGTGTAGAGGGTGGATACCAGTGATCGTGCCGGTGCTGTTACTGACCGTGTCCCGGGAGGGGTTGGAGCCCACGGCCAAACTGCTTGTGAAAGGAGGGGGGAGGGGGGGTAGTTACAGCAACTGAGAAGTTTCTCGCGATTGGAGGTTCCATGCCCCCCAATACCTTGCTAAAGCAAGAGGGACTTCAGCTAGCTTCGTGAA